ATAGGAATAGCCAATGAGATGGAGATTCACTTCAGTGTCCTCCCGATTTCACGCCACGGAAAGATCTCACAGACAAAAAAAGACAAACAACTGAAGCTGCCATCTTCCCCCTTTCAAACATGAAGGGCATCTGAGATAAAAGGAGCATCTTTTGTTTATTATTTCACCATTTTTAACAATTTAGAGCTTTTGAACACATCTACTGAGGATGTGCTTTCAGTTTGAGTATTTTATTTCCCTGTCAGAGGTTGGCACTCTTTCGTTCATTATATATTCATATGTCAAGTATTTTTTATGTTTTCTGTTGGATTTTTTTTTTTTTAAATGCCCATGAGAAGCACTTAGGACCCAAGTTGATATGTTAAAACTCTTTTGTCTAACAAACAGTCCTAAGCCAATAGATATTCAACTCTTGTGTCTTACAACAACATTCTGACATTTAAGAAGGATAGGAGAGCTTTTTGCAATTATTGGCCTCTTCAAATGGTTTCATCCAACCAAACAGTCAAAGAGCCAAAGATATTCAGTTGTCATATATGACAAAGAAAAACATGAAATTGTCACATTTTAGGAGCTGGAACTGGAGTGTTGCTGTCTTGACTTGAAAAATAACCAGCTATTGATTTATTATCAAAGGTACATGTCCAGCCAGCTAAAACAACTCTGCAGCATTAAGAAATCCATCTCGTGGCTTCTCTGAGTACTCAAACTACAGAATGAACCAATTCAGTGCAGTGGCATTAAACACTTTTCTCATCTGTCACGCTGACTCTTATCTGCCAAGAGGACGGACTCTCCACAGGGTCGAACCTGGCCAACAGTGGCTTGCTACATCTTGAGAGATGACCCTGCAAAATAGTTGGCATTCCTCTGGAGGAAGGAAGGGGCTGGCGGGAATGATTTCCGCCAAAGGTCAAACATGGAAATGATTATCTGCATTGTTGCTGATATTGGGTAGTTTCTCTCTCTCTCGTTGGCTGGAATGAGCACACAATGCAGTCTATCTGCTTCAGACGTTTTTTTGAATATTTAATACTGGCTCACGGTGCGAGGGGCGCAGCATGGAGGGGGTTTAGGGGGGTTGGGCGACTGCTTTTGAGTCTCATTGGGGGAGAAGCTCTTCACGCTTACTTAAAAAATCTTGAGCAAACTTGAAGTCATTCTGCATTAAAATGTTCAGAAAACTGGACGTCACAGCATAAAAATACCCTGACTTTTTAACAGCCTGAGAGTAAATTATGATAGAGAGTCTGTGCAAAAGCTATTTCACTACTTGAACGTGAGCATAGAACTTGCAGGTTTTCTCAAAACGAATTGTTTGCCTGGTTTCCTTTCAGGAGAACACAAATGTCTCTAGACAAAGAGTAGACTGTGTATCCCGGTACTGCCAGACTCATTTACAATGTAAAGGGGCACCTTGAAACAAATCATGTGCATCTTCCGAAACAACCTTCCCACGCACGATCGCCTGGAATGCTCTCATTCTCACGGGGCACTTCTCGACCTCCAGGCTCCCATCCCCCCCCATCCAACAACCACCGAATACATCCAACTGTTTGCCCTCTCTTTCCCCCCACAACTTCCTCTTTCTTTTATTTTCTGCAGGCCCTTTCAGCATCACAAATCCTCCTCCTCCTCCTCCCTCTCAGAACAATGTCTGCTCTGCTCTCCTCAAAACCTCTTTGCTGTTGGACCAGTGCCTGGAGCCTGAACCCATAAAAAAGAAACACCAAAGACACACAAGCACACACACATATTGGCTAGAGTATGGGTCCACCTAATCATTCCTCACTGTGGTTGTGAAGCTATTTCTGCAACAGTTACGTCAGCTACCAAGGAATGAGTTTAAGGTTGTGGAGGTATTTGGGTGAGAAGATGGGGGAGGTATTTGAAAAGCTAACTCCAGAAAATAGTTTAGTGAAGCATTAAAGGAATAGTTTAACATTTTGGGAAATACACTTATTCTGGCGGAGAGTTAGACCATTACAGTTATATCACTGACGTGTCTGAAAAGTCAACAAAGCTATAGATAGAGAGTTAGCTTAGCATAAAGACTGCCTGTGACCAAAGGTTAGGATTCAACCTATAGCTGCACCGCACAAGCTCAATAATTAACATTTCCAATTGTGGTTAATCTGTATGAAACTCAAATAGTTAAAACAAATATGTTGTTTTTCAATGAAAGTTAAACTTTAAATGGTAGGTTACCTGGCTCTACTCTTATATTATTGGATAGTAGTGGTTAACAACAAGAAAAAAATATATAGTTGCGATAAATGTCACTGACATTGGAATAACAATATGATTCATTGTATTGGAGGGAATTAAGTGTGTATATAATACAACTTGCAGGCTGGGATATCTATAGCACTCCAATGCTTTCATTCTGAATGATATTTTGAAAAATGTTAACAAATGTTGTGCATTCTTATTAAAAGGGCTAGTCCATATTGCAACTTCGATGAAATCTAAATAGTAGTTCCTGCCTACCGGAAAGTCCAAACCTTACCATTTTTGTACACAAGGAATCAGCCTTTATGCTAAGCTAAGCTAACTAGCTCTGGCCTTATACTAACTATACAGACATGAGAGTGGTGTTGACTATCTCATCTAACTCTCCAACCAGAAAGTGAAAGTGTAATTCCCAAAGTGTTGGTACTCCTCCTGAATTTGAAACCTGTGGGCCTCACTGACGCTGTTAGAAATCTCTCTGTTTGCGGACCCATCAGGGGGATTATACGCATAAAATGACCTATGGAAGACAAGCCTTCCCTTCACACCTGAGCACAAATGGGAAACCAGGAGGGGAGGGGAGGGGAGGGGGGGGGAGGCTGTGGCACCTCACCTCAGGCCATGAGACGGGGCGCCAGACGCTCGTTAGGCTGGTGTTGAATACCGCTCTGCGAGGAAAATAGCTCTTAATATAGCTGTGAATAATTCATCGCGGCTGAGATCAAGAGCAGAGATTTGATAGGGGACATAGTTAACTTTGGCACTATTTAACAGATTTAAAGATGGACACAGTGACGCAAAATGTGTAATCTGATTTTCCAACCTTTCTTATGTCTGCCTACCTGCCACACTACTTTTCATCTAGCAGTGTTGCATAATCCAGATATGTTTATCATAAGCAAATAGCACTCTGCTTGATTTCTGTACTCTCCTTATCTCGCCTCAGTCAAACAAAGAAGCACCGTTTTACGTCAGAGATCCCCTTTTGCTTGGAAACACTGTTGTTGATCGCAATAACATTATCTTCCACTGATCTCCAGGAGGAGTTTTCTGAGGCTGAAGTCCTTGTCACATTCACTGGCCTCGATCTGAAAACCCATCATCAATACGATTGCTCCGGCTCTCTCCGGGTATGTGAGCTATGTAACTAACTGGACAATGACTCAGTCTGGACCATGACGCAGACACACAGCCTGCACCACCCTCCAATCACAACCCCACCCTGCTAAACATTGACACAGCCCAGTAGACGCTGGGGAAAATGGATCCAAAACTGTGTCAAGTCAATAGTCTGAGCCAACACGGCTACTTCACACTTCACAAAACAGCCACTGCCCTCGAAAACCTCTGAATCATCCAAACACTTTGCACAGTTTTTGCTTCCCTAATATGGTGAGGCAGAATTCTCACTGAAAGAGGGGATGACATTTAAATACAACAGTTCAGTAACCAAGGTTCTTGCTAAATACCCATTGTTTTAAAACAGTGCTAAAAGCTCAAAGGCATTCACACAGCAGAGCTCCAGTAAGACCATGACATGTTAACATCCAGCAACAGTTCATAATGTAATTTAGATGGGCCTGAAGTCGAGCTGTCCATCACAAAGTAAAATCCTAAAATAATAATATTGACAGACATAACAAAGACTCTGATTGGCTAAAGGGAAGAGTAATATGAGAGCATTGAGGACCTTTCATGCAGACACGATTCATTTTATAGTGAAAGCACCAAACAATCTCAGCAAGAAGCGGAAAATACAGTTAATGATATTAATTAGTCAACTGAAAATATGTGTTGTGCCAGTGTGGCAGCTTTCCCTGTAACACCTCCACTATTAGGTTACAGGAACCCAAAGATTTTCTCAAAGGAATATTTGGCGAGTTAACAGTTTGGCCAATTTCAACAAATAAGTCTACTGACTAAATGGTTATCTGGCAATGACAATCCATTCATACTTCAAGATATTTTAACAAGAAAGCCAAACAGTTTTTGGTTCCAGCAGTTTTGATGATCTCATATATCGTTGGATGTACAGATATATGTTTGAGTTTATGGTATAGTTATAGATCATGAAAGACTGTTTTAGGTGAAACCCAAATATAACAGTTTTAAATTGAGTTACAAATAAATTAAGACATCATTCTTTGAGGATGATATCCATATTGCCCAGCTAAATAAAACGATAACCAAACAAAGTCCAACACCAACAAAAAGGTGGTGATCAAATAGCACATAATTGAATGTAAAGTGGAATAACGTGCTTTTTTTGGCAATCTGACTTTCAAAAGTCACTATATTTAGGACACTGGTAGGGGAATAATAGTTGAAATTATGAACAGAACATGACAACATATTTCAGATCCCTTTTTGAAGGGGGGAGGAGGGTACGCTTTTCCTCTATTTACGCCCCTGTGATCGCAATAAATGTAGCCCGAAGGCATAGATAAAACAACTGAATGCTGTAGCCTCAAATGAGACATCCACACACACACCACACACACTTTCACACATAGACCAGACATTTCTAACAAAAGTGACAGCATCTTCTCAGCAGTTTCCCTTTTATAACCTGATGATTCTTTTTTAAACAAACCCGGATGCACTCATTTAAACAACTTATAATTACCGCGTTAATGCCAACAGTGGAAAAGTTGTACAATCATCCACGTCGACTCTTCTGACAAAACCAGCTTTGTAAATAAGTATTTCTTTAACATACATAATGACAAACGAGAAAGTGCTGTTCCAATCCAAGTCGCATTACTTACTTTGTATTTCATTTTGCAGAGGTCTCTTCTGTGACTCCAGTAAAAAGTGAGTTAAATATCCGCTTTATCGCATTCAAAGAGCGCACATGAGTGAGTGCAGGGCCTGAAGAGTTTTCTGTGTGGTTAACCAGCCATCCAGAGCTTCAGAGACGGAGAAACACTCTCTCTGTGGATCCTGCACCGCTTCTTTCTGCTCCTCCAGAGCCAGACTACTCTTCATCACATTGACGCTGCGAGAGGCTCATTTGAGTAGAACGCCGCTGATTGGTCGGTGGAAACATTCTAGTCCCGCCTCCCTCCCCCCGCGCGAACTGCGGAACTGCTCTGTTACAAACCTGACCTCGTTATTACAATAATAACAGATATATAATTATACAGATAGAACACATGTTTCAAAAGGTGTTCAGTAATGTCAAGTATTAAAAAAGTGCAATACAAAATGTAAATGTTAATATAGCCTACTTCACTTTTCCTAGGTCTTCTTACGTTTCTTTTTTCTTAACCTTCTATTTGACCCCACACTGTATGCCAAATTAGCTTTAAGCACTTCCTGTTTCCATTGTAGCAATGTTTAAATCTAAATTGGGATGATTCTCATTGAAGTTCTGCAATATTGTCAGAAACCTTTTTTCTATGATTTCTTCTATGATTTAGCCGATTTATCAACTTAAGTCAAAATCAATCATCATTATTTATATCCTCAGAAAGTATTAGTCCCATTAAATGGCAAAAATCAGTGTATCATGTCTCTGTGTTTAAATCTGAGCCGAGAAATTACTCTAAGAAGAACACATTTTGACGTAAAATGAGACAATCTGGCAATAGGTTTTAGTATCATGAATGTAATCATTTTTATTCTGCCCCTCGGGTATTGTGGGGCTTTTTAGATGTTTCAAACAAAAGTTCATTTAAATAACTGTAAAAAAAACATGTTGTTACTGATAATCAAACCCTACACCTTGTATCGCTTCGCTAGCTAGCAATAGCTAATAGTCAAGTTTTTATCTAATTTGATTGCATGACTGTATGCTACTGACCAAACTTCAATATGACTCATATTTAAATATTTTGTGTCCCCCCTCCTGCATGTTGTAATTTTAGTTACTTGAGTTATACTTGTTATGTATATCAAAATAAATATGAATATTAAAATAAATGTAGGCTATATTGTTTAAATTACAAAAATAAAGCCTCATTTATACTTATTTGTCTACAGTACACAATTGAACAGATTAAGAGGAAGTTCTTGCCCTGTTGCAGTGTTGGCTGTTTTTCTGAGAACAGTGTAACACTGAGTTGGGAGGAAGTGCGATTATGTAGCATCTTCTTCTGCATAGTAATGTGTCCATTGGTTCAGAAGAAAATTACAACACCCAGTTACACAGCGCTGCCTGTGCATCATCCTGCTCTTCAATGAATAAATAAATACATAAACTAATCTGTTTTCTCTCCGAGCTGTAGTGAACACTTCAACATCAGCTTCAGTTTACATGATTGAAAACACTGGCTGCACAAAATAATCGTTTTTGTATGTTCTCTTGGTCAATTCACCTTTTTTTGGAATACTAGATTAAGAGATTTGTTTTTTTAGAAATACTATCATTGATGCACCTTACTGCTCCACCTCGTAGGACTATTCTGCAAAACTGAGTTATTTTACTTTGTTTGTGCTTATATTTATTGTATGTAGAGCTACTTTTAGTGTTGATGCAGAACTTATTAGTAGTAATACATTAAGTAGACACTTAGTTGTGTTAGTATTTTTAACAGAGTATTATTCCAACTTAAATTAGTATTTTAACAGAGTATTATTCCAACTTAAATATCTGATTACTTTTTCTAACACTGGTTGAAACTGACCATGAAGGGGTTTCCAACTATTTAAAAATGACAATCGCTGTTAACAAATTGACTGACTTTTTCAACGACCACATATTACCTGGAACTGTCACCCTCTTGATTGAATTAATTTTAAGAAATGAACAAGGAAGTTAAAATATCTGAAGAATCTCCATCTTTCTATACAAAATACAAAGACTTTCCTGACATAATACTTAACTTATTCTTTCTTGGGAACATGTACAGGTTGTTTGACATACATTTACAAATTATTTTACGGTACTTTAAAGGTTATCTTTAGTGCTCACCCTGACTTGAGTGAAGATAGACGACAGCGTAGATATCAGCTCAGTGTCTAATGGAGGTGACAAGGAAACACCCAAGCTGATCTCTGAACTAGCAGGAAATCCTTCTTCTCTCTGCATCACCCTGCTAACACATCCTCACAGCCCATCTCTGCAAAGTATGCATTATTGTTCTCAAGATCTGCATGTCATGTAACAGTGAAAAACAAAGCAACAGAAGTTATTCTGAACATCTTGCAGGCCTGATGTGGCCTGCAAGATGTCTGTTCATTATAGACTGTTTTCTCTAAATGGGTAAATCTTCTGTAATTAGCTTTGCCTCTCATGTGTTTCCGAATGCTCAAATGTGTGTAAGCTCATTTATCACAATCACAGGGACCCTATCGGATCTCATTGTCCCCCTCTGTACAGTCATATCCTCAGATGAATGCCTCTTGTAAAGGCACTCAAAACGTGTGTGTGTGTGTGGTGTGGTGCTGTGGTGTGTGTGTGTGTGTGTGTGTGTGTGTGTGTGTGTGTGTGTGTGTGTGTGTGTGTGTGTGTGTGTGTGTGTGTGTGTGTGTGTGTGTGTGTGTGTGTGTGTGTGTGTGTGTGTGTGTGTGTGTGTGTGTGTGTGTGTGTGTGTGTGTGTGTGTGTGTGTGTGTGTGTGTGTGTGTGTGTGTGTGTGTGTGTGTGTGTGTGTGTGTGTGTGTGTGTGTGTGTGTGTGTGTGTGTGTGTGTGTGTGTGTGTGTGTGTGTGTGTGTGTGTGTGTGTGTGTGTCATACACCAGGCCCAGCTGGTGCCCTTTCTCTGAGCCACAAGTGGGTACTGGGGGGCTATTCTTTTCTGTGTATGCCATGTGATTATGTGCATGTGAGCACCTGTTTCCTATGACAAACACAAGTCAATTACCCATCTGTTTGTATCAGCGCTGTGTAAAAAAAACAGCCTGAAATAATAAGCCCAAAAAAAGGTTGTTTATCCCATTTTTCAACACATTTGGCTGAGGTTGAATGAGTCCATTCGATTTCCATCTCTAGTGGCGTGTCATTTCCGCTGGTTTCAACTCGAGCTTTATCAGCTTGTCGCTGGTAGAAATGAGGGATTTACTGTAGAGAGCCTCTTGAGTTACAGCCCCAAAATCCTTCTTTTGATTCTCAGTTGCCCGAGGGAGATTTGTATTGGCATCCGAGCGTCGAGCCCGGTCACCATGACGACTGCAGTATTTGTGGTCTCACACCTACTGTATTACACGAGCAGAAAGGCCTCCAGAGGTCTTTCAGTGCTATTATGGCGCATTTCAGCACGGAAATGACCGGTAATAGTGCGAGTGAAAAATGAGCCTCCTGCCTTTCATCTCCGCCAGGTGCCTGTGATGTTTGGGTTACATAAGCGCCCCTGCAGATCTGACCCCAGGTTTAACAGAGGGCACCGCAGCCATACATCTTCCATAAGTGGAGATCACAGGGCTCTGTTGCCTCCAGCAGGGCTTCTTGCTGCTGTATGGTGGATGGACAGAGGCAGGAGGCGTCAGACTGACAACATCCCCTCTGTGAGGCCGGGCGGAGGTGGCCCCTCACTGCTGCCTGTGAAACACCGTCCCTCAATCTCTCGCAAACCAACTCAGGCAGATTTATGGGACCACCACCCTAAGTCCACAGACAGCGCTCTGACAGGCTAGGCCCCCCACTCTTCCTCTGTGTCTCCCTCTTTGTGCCCCGTGACCTTGTGCAGCCTTGTGGCTCGGCAGCAACGGAGAGGAATGCACAAAACTCACAAGAGAAGAAGAAGAAGAGTGAGAACATTCGAGTCTGACACACAGTTGGGGTCATGATGTTTTTCTGCTATTTGTACCGTAAACTTTGAGAATGGTCTGCTATGGCTTTAAGGAAAAGCACCCCCACAAAATTACAAATCCAGTGTCAAATATACTACCCGTGTGACCTTGAATTCTCAAAGGGAATTTGTTTTTTTCTCTCATACCGACACAGTAAACCAAAAATCCAAGAACAAAAATACATGCTTTTTTGCTAAAACCTTATTATTCTGTCACTACCACTTATATACTGTTTATTCAGAATAGTTCTAAAAAGTAAAATTTTAGCAAAATACATGTGTATGAGAAAAAGCTAGTTGTTTTTTGCAAATTCAAGGTAACAGAGGGTGACTTATTGTTTTACAAATTGTCATTTATTCTTTAAAGATTTTCTTTAGATGGTAATTTTGTCCAATGACACTGTCTAATGACTTAGATGGCTATAATTGTTTAACTTCACCACACAAGTATCTCAAGTATATCATTTTGATGTACTTCAACATTTCTTAACCAACAATGTAAGAGAGTAGACACAACAACTGGATGTTTTAAAATTAACACTATTTTACTTAAACAATAATGAAAACAAAGTAAATGAAATCTGTTTTTTTGTTCAACTTTGCTAAGTTCAACGTTAGGGAAGGTTGTGGTTTTACTTAGTACTATGTTAGAATAATTCAACACATTACATGAACTCCACACCTTACACACACACGACTTCCTGTGTAAGCTCTACATCAGGGCTATTCAATTGGCGGCCCGCGGGCCAAATCCGGCCCCGGGGTGATATTTACTGGCCCTTTGAGTATAATGTTAAAATGTATAATGTTATAATGTTGTGCCATAGTGCCTTTATTCCAGAGAGGGTGTTACATTGAGAGATAGAGGGGTAGACAATGCCTGAAAACTTCGACGGGCTCGGGTTTCGAACCCACCTACTATACTGTAGTGACAACTCCTGTCATTGATTGCATCTCTGCGTGAATGATTAGATCATTTCACCTAAATGAAATCAAATGAAACATGTAGGCCTACTGAGTTCTGAACTTGCCATTTAGATCTATAAAGGCCTTGGGGCTATGTTGTTTGATTGAATTAAACACAATATATGCACTCCACTATGCTGTTGTAGTATTTACTGTATCTGAAGCTCTTAAATATGATTGCTCATATTTCAAGCCATCTTTTTCCCGGCCCCTTGCTTTGGATTATTTTCATCAACCGGCCCCCATTCCAAACTAATTGAATAGCCCTGCTCTACATGTTCGCATAGACATACA